GTTTCCGAACCCAATCTGGTGCCTTCCTCAGGTAAACATTGTGACTTTGATTCGTCATCATGTTTGCCTGAGGAAGGAACCAGATTGGGTTCTGAAACGTTGCTATACACAGTGAAACCTATCCAGCCAGTGAACGTTTCATTGCTTTATGGATTGATCCACAAACAGACACAGCAAGGCAAGCCTCTCCCCTCTCCTATGCTCCCCACTCCTCCCTTTTAATTTCTACCTCCTCCTTCCTCCCTTCTAAATGCTAGTATATGGACAGCTGCTGGAGTCCGCTCTGTCCCTTGTGATCTTTTACTGGACAGAAAGTTTAGGAAAGCTGATCTGAGAGAGTTAGAGGCAGCATTTTTTTTTTTAATCCAAGCTGCCTTAGTACCTAAATTAGACTTGGTATCATCCTCCTGCAGACCCTATACAGCAGAGCTGAAATATGAGAAGAGGAAATCTTACAAGTAGCCAATCAGTTCGTATCACTTCCCCCTCCCTTTTAGATTGTAAGCCCTCAGGGGCAGGGCCTTCCTTCCCATCTTGTCTTGAATTGTATTGTGATTGTAATGTCTTCCTTATATTGTAAAGCGCTGCGCAAACTGTTGGCGCTATATAAATCCTGTATAATAATATTATAATAATAATAATGTGCTGACATTAAAAGGAGAACTATGAGGTGAGTGCTTTTCACTCACCTCATAGTTCTAGCCGACCTGTGACAATGAGACTGTCACAGGTCGGCTCAGTAGATCGGGAGGTGAGCGAACACATACCGGCGTTCGCTCACTTCTCGATCCTGTCACGGCTCTCTGCTGTGACAGGGGAGGGACTGGATTCCCCGCTCCGATCCACCAGCGCTGACTGGTGGAACGGACGGGGGAGGGGGCGGGTACAGCTGGCTTTGCCTCTAGATAGGCAGAGCCAGCTGTCACTCACGCAGCTGGGCTGATCCAGACATAATTGTCGGGATCCGCTTCAGCTGCGGCGTCTCAGTATACCGCAAGCTGTAGCTCGTGGTATACTGCGGCGTCTCAGTATACCGCGAGATGTAGTTCGCGGTATACTGAGCTTAGGGTGATAGGAGGATGCTAGTTTGTGTCCTCCCGTTACCCTAAGGAGAACTATGGGGAAAAGCCCTAACCCCATAGTTCTCCTTTAAGTACGCTGATAGGAGAAGAGAGATGAGTTTATTACTGCCCTGATTCATCTTTCACTGTCCCAATCACAACCTGGGGGCTGGGATTAGAGGAAATTAGTTAATTAGCTATTAGACTGAGGACATCTAGCGGCTTCATAAAAAATACTGCAGTGGAAATCTCTGTAATGAAGATAAATATTTGCAGAGAAGCTGGTTTGTTAGTTTTTGTGTCTGGAGTTCTGCTTTAACTGCTCTGTACTTCAAAAAAAAAAACCCCTAAAAGCTTCCTTGCCTACTGTGCAGATTTTTAATAAAAGAACAGATTGTGTAAAATGGACTTAAACAGGAAGTTGGTTCTTCTCCATGCGGCTTGCTCTAGAAATGTCTATATGCTGGGACACAAAGAGAGTAACAGAAGTGGATTTTCCTGCAGATAAAACTTTGTTCAATTATTTATTGCCAACAAATGTTCCAGTGCTGTTAATAAAACAGCAAAAATAGATCCTCTTCAATGTAAATGTTGTATTAATGTAATAGTGACTGTATAGCAAATGACAGCGCTGCTGGGAATGTCCATATTTCCCATAGCAGAGAGTGTGTTGAAGTAATATGGCGCAGGATAAGTAGCAGTAACCCACAGAAGCCAATCAGATCACAGAGTATTGCAGGCAGATACATATGGATAAGGATACATTCTAATTGGTTTCCCAAGGCTATTGTGTGTTGCAGATTCCTCTTTACTGTAATAACAAAATACAGTATGACCCCGTTCACATCACCCCTGCAGTGCCATTATTTGTTAATTGCACGCCAAAAGCGGCAGGCAAACGCGGGTCAGTTAGAGTTCCCACCTGTCCGGGATTCACCCGGACAGTTCGGGTTTCATGGCAGCTGGGACCTGGACACATGATGTCAGGCAGACAGGGGCAACCAAAATTAAGATAGGGGCTACTGGCCCCCCACTGAAAAAAGTCTTGACTGTGATATTTACATATGAATGGTTGGCACTATTTACATATGAATAAGCCGTGGCTCATTCTCCCCCAGAACATTTGCTAGAGTGTTTGGGTTTCGCTGAAAGAAAAGGTGGCAACCCTAGGGTCAATGCACAGCAAACGTGTGAAGCTTGCTCCTATATCTCCTCCGTGAGCTTCTTTGCTATGCTAGGGCATGTGCTGCTTTGGCCTCAGGCACCATTCTACCCACACCTTACATTGTATATGGGGTAGATTCAGCTGGACTTAAGCTGGCCAAACACACTGGTCTGCCAGCTGAACAAAATAAATCTAAGTTTCTTCCATACACACTAAACAGCATGGATGGCCGAATCTCCCACTGCGGCTATTGTATTCTGACAGCTGGCGCCCGCCATTGCCGCAATACATGAACAGCAACTGCAGCTGGTTGGCAGTCACTGTTTGAATAAAACATTTTGGCCCAACTTCTTGGAGTTGAGTTTTGTTGAGCTGTGAGGGCCACCTGCTGTAAGAATTACCACTCCTGTCAATTCTAACAGTATATGGCCAGCCTTAAGGTCCCCACACACCTTATGATAATCGTACGATAAGCGCGGGAAATCCCGCGATCGTACGATTATCGTAAGGTGTGTGGAAGCCGTGCGACCTCTACTACTGTAAGGTCGCACGACTTTAAACTTACGAACATGTTTCAAAACCCGCCGAGCATCGTACTATGTTCAGCGGGTGTGTAGCATGTTCGTAAGATAAAAGCCGGACGGGCCGGTGTGCGCAAGCGCACACTGCCCGTTTGGCATTGCGCTCATCGGAAGCCCGTGGCTTGCGATCATCACAAGTACGATCTGCCTATGCAAGATAGGCAGATCGTACGTTTTTTTTAAGTACCTTACAACCATCGCAAGACAAAAGTCTTGCGATGGTTGTAAGGTGTGTGCCCAGCCTTAGACTTCTCATAGGGTGCCATGCAACAAGTTATCCCTGATAAAGTTCCTGACTCTGGCCTCTCCCACCATGGCTTTTCCTTATTCTTTGCAGCAGTCTCATTACTCTTGCTGCATTCCCCATGATGTAAACTAAAGCTGGCCATACACCTTACAACCATCGCAAGACTTTTGTCTTGCGATGGTTGTAAGGTGATTTAACAAACGTACAATCTGCCCTTCTTGGACAGACAAATCATACTTGCGATCATCGCAAGCCCGCCCCCCAGATAAATGGGCTTCCGATGACTGCAATGCTGAACGGGCAGTGTGCGCTTGCGCACAATGGCCCGTGTTGCATTTGTCTTACGAGAAGGCCACAAACCCGCCGATAATCGTACGATTCTTGGCGGGTTTTCGAGCCTGCTCGTAAGACAAAAGACGTGCGACCGTACAGTAGAAACGGTTGCACGCCTTCCATACACCTGCCGATTATTGTATGATCGCGGGATTTCTCGCGATTATCATACGATAATCGGCAGGTTATGGGCACCTTAACAAAGAGTGGGACTTTATAATGACTGCAGCAGGTGGTCTGAACCTGGAGACCTCAGCATTGAATCTGCAGTGAGAAACTATGGAGGGTGACACTGCTGACCTCTCCTTCTGAAAATACTATTTCCCTGGCTGCCATGCTCATTCTCTGGCTTCAGTACTTTGTTACTGACCTGGAACAGGTTTGCAGATATGGACTTCTGACTAGCATTTTCCTTTGATTTGTGTACCGAGTCTGTGACTCAGGAAGTATTGAATTCACTGGGTCAGAATAACAGGCAGTCAGGTATCATCAGATGGAGGTCAGCAATGGCAGCCCCTATATTTCATGACAAGTTCACTTTAACTTCACCTTTCCTCAGCAGCCCTGATTTGCCTTTCCTGTAGGTGTCACACACTCCTCCATACCCGGAACTGCTAGAAATATTTGAATTGCTCCTGGGAGCTGAATGGAATGGCAAGGAAACAAAGGAAAGGCGAGACTGTGCTCCTAGACGGCCAGCTTGAAGGTGAACCAATTGCTTTCTCTTAAGGTGCCCATGCACCTTAAGATTATCGTACAACACTTTTCATCCGATGATCGAACCGTCGTACGATTTTCGTACGGCGGCCCCATCCTGCCCCGATTATCGCAAGTTTCAATTAGCCGTAATGAAAGAAAAGCACCTGAACGAATTGCGGCAATCGACCGCACCTATTTTCGTTTACGCATGAGCAGTGTAGATCGTACGATTTTTTACGTACGGAAACGCCACTAACCTTGCGAAAATCGTACAATCGACCAAAGTTTTCAAACCTGCTTGAAAGTCAAAAGTCGTATGATTGTACAGTATTTGCGGTTGTACACTGCCCATCAACCTTACGATTATCGGGCGACAACACAATCGCATACGATTATCGGACGATAATCGTAAGGTGTATGGGCACCTTTATACGGGCAAAGCACACATTGGCTTTACAGGGTATTTCCACTTTTTAGCTGGCTATACACTTTACAACCATCGCACGACTTAAGTCGTGCGATGGTTGTAAACTAATTAAAAGCTTGTACGGTCTGCCCATCATGGAGAGGCAGATCGTACTTGCGATCATCGAAAGCCCGCCCCGCTGAGGGGGCGGGCTCCCAATGACTCCAATGCCGCACGGGCAGTGTGCGTTTGCGCACACCAGCCCATGCGGCATTTGCCTCCCGAGAACGCCACTAACCGAGCCTGCTTAAAGACGTGTGACCGTACAGTAGAAACGGTTGCATGCCTTCCATACACCTGCCGATTATCGTACGATCGCTGGATTTCGTACGATAATCGACAGGTGTATGGGCACCTTTACAGTCACATTTGAGAAAACCCCTCTATGTGGGTTTGTCATGTGTTCCCACTCACACAGCAAATCTAAAAATAATTTTCAGATATATTTTTACCTTGAAGGTATTTCTTTGGTGAAGGCCTTTGTGTAGATTGTAGGTGACTCTGATAATTCTTTGGTGAAGGCCTTTGTGTAGATTGTAGGCGACTCTGATACTTCTTTGGTGAAGGCCTTTGTGTAGATTGTAGGCGACTCTGATACTTCTTTGGTGAAGGCCTTTGTGTAGATTGTAGGCGACTCTGATACTTCTTTGGTGAAGGCCTTTGTGTAGATTGTAGGCGACTCTGATACTTCTTTGGTGAAGGCCTTTGTGTAGATTGTAGGCGACTCTGATACTTCTTTGGTGAAGGCCTTTGTGTAGATTGTAGGCGACTCTGATACTTCTTTGGTGAAGGCCTTTGTGTAGATTGTAGGCGACTCTGATACTTCTTTGGTGAAGGCCTTTGTGTAGATTGTAGGCGACTCTGATACTTCTTTGGTGAAGGCCTTTGTGTAGATTGTAGGCGACTCTGATACTTCTTTGGTGAAGGCCTTTGTGTAGATTGTAGGCGACTCTGATACTTCTTTGGTGAAGGCCTTTGTGTAGATTGTAGGCGACTCTGATACTTCTTTGGTGAAGGCCTTTGTGTAGATTGTAGGCGACTCTGATACTTCTTTGGTGAAGGCCTTTGTGTAGATTGTAGGCGACTCTGATACTTCTTTGGTGAAGGCCTTTGTGTAGATTGTAGGCGACTCTGATACTTCTTTGGTGAAGGCCTTTGTGTAGATTGTAGGCGACTCTGATACTTCTTTGGTGAAGGCCTTTGTGTAGATTGTAGGCGACTCTGATACTTCTTTGGTGAAGGCCTTTGTGTAGATTGTAGGCGACTCTGATACTTCTTTGGTGAAGGCCTTTGTGTAGATTGTAGGCGACTCTGATACTTCTTTGGTGAAGGCCTTTGTGTAGATTGTAGGCGACTCTGATACTTCTTTGGTGAAGGCCTTTGTGTAGATTGTAGGCGACTCTGATACTTCTTTGGTGAAGGCCTTTGTGTAGATTGTAGGCGACTCTGATACTTCTTTGGTGAAGGCCTTTGTGTAGATTGTAGGCGACTCTGATACTTCTTTGGTGAAGGCCTTTGTGTAGATTGTAGGCGACTCTGATACTTCTTTGGTGAAGGCCTTTGTGTAGATTGTAGGCGACTCTGATACTTCTTTGGTGAAGGCCTTTGTGTAGATTGTAGGCGACTCTGATACTTCTTTGGTGAAGGCCTTTGTGTAGATTGTAGGCGACTCTGATACTTCTTTGGTGAAGGCCTTTGTGTAGATTGTAGGCGACTCTGATACTTCTTTGGTGAAGGCCTTTGTGTAGATTGTAGGCGACTCTGATACTTCTTTGGTGAAGGCCTTTGTGTAGATTGTAGGCGACTCTGATAATTCTTTGGTGAAGGCCTTTGTGTAGATTGTAGGTGACTGATATTTCTTTGGTGAAGGCCTTTGTGTAGATTGTAGGTTACTCTGAGCAGTTTGAAAGTGACATTAGACCATCAGACTGAGCTTCCTCTCATTAAAATACAATGCTTCTAAGTCTTTAACCCTTTGTTAGGACAGACAGTGTTCAGATCTAGTTTACAACTGATAATGAAATCTGGCAGTACAGGAAGGGTTAATTAGAGAAAACATAACATCACACAGACCCCTCATTAATATTACCTAGATGGGATGCCAGGGAGCATTTGTACACACGTATAAAGCACTTAAAAATATAAACAGCTATTTTTTATTATTATTATGCAATGTAAATGGGAACACACACTGCCCGGCCAAAAGCAAAAAAACAGCACCTGGATTTCGCTAAGTGAATAGGTAAGAGTCTTCCATTTGATAATTACTGGAATGATTGATACCTGTATGCTATGTTTGATCTGGCAACAAATGAGGTCAGCTGCCTACCTGAATATATTGAATGACCAGGTTTATCCATCAATGGATTTTTTTTTCTTCCCTGGTGGCATGAGCATATTCCGGGATGACAATGCCAGCATTCATCGGGCACCGATCAGGAAAGAGCGGTTCAGGGAGCATTAGACATCATTTTCACGCATGCATTGGCCATCACAGAGTCCAGACCTTAACCCTATTGAGAATCTTTGGGATGTGCTGGAGAAGACTTTACGCAGCGTTCAGGCTTTTTGATCATCACTACAAGATCTTGGTGAAAAATTAAGGTGTCCATACAGTGGTCGAATTTCGGCAGGTTTTTAAGGTACTGGCCAGAACTAGCAGTGTGTGGGGCTGTCAGCTCCATTTCAGCCAGCATTCCTCGATCAGTTGATCGAAGGAGTCGGCTGGAAAATTTTCGAGCCAATGAGCTGCCCACTCTGATCAGATATTCAGACAGGTGTCGGCAACTTGACTGAAAAATATTGATAGGTGTATGGCCAGCCTTAATGCAACTCTGACACTGCATAAGCTTATCAAACCAACGCCATGGCAAATACGTGCTGAAAAATTAACACTAAAGATGGGCCAACTAAATATGAAGAGTGTGTGACGTGTAGCGTAGAACAAATATAACATAGGTGTTACCCCAATCTGGCAAAATTGGAAATACACAAAGTTGTAACATGCCAACTGAAATCAGCTGGGAGGGACCACACTGCCAACCGCATGGGGGAGTCCCTGGTATTGTGGTCTGACTGGTAGCCCAAAAAAGCCGTCATGAGTTGGGGAAGTTGTGCAGACTTTAAAAAGCAGCATCACCCTCCACTGCCATAGAGCATGGGAGCAGAACAAAACAATGATTTTACAAATCTGTCAGGTAAAACAGTTTTTGTATATAGTTCTTCTATATTATTTTTTTTTACCTGGTTGGATGTAGCTTATGCTTTTTGTATAGTAGATACTACTTGTGCTCAGGGGTGTATCTACTGCAAGGCAAACTAGGCATTTGCCTAGGGCGGCACTTTGCATGGGGGCGTCAATAAATAAATACGTTATATTATAAATTACTGCCAGTACTCCTGGACCTGGTGCTTCTGTGACTGGGGGACCAACATGTCCACCTATGCCGGCTGCAGCTCCTTCCTATTCCTGGTCAACATGCTGTGCAATGTGTTGGTGTGTGTGTGACTTTCATCCGGATGCACTGGCAGTTCGTGCACCGGACCTCCCTGGGAAACCAGCACCCAAATCTCTGACTTCAGGCAGCGGAGGAGCTTCCGCAGGACCCCAGGGCTGAGATCCAGATGGTCATAGTGCTCATCGGCACCTCCGTAGTGGTGAGTCCGGGGAAGTGCAGCCTATAAACTCCATTCAGGGTTATGTCTCTAGAGTGGGGCAAGCTACAGAGACCAGCAGCCAAGGCAGAAGATTGGTAATTCAACCTCAAATACTATGTAACTATGTAACTGCAGCATTAGACTGACAGGTTATGCAAAATGTCTTAAACAGGAAGGGGTGGGGCTAATTTAGATTAGGGATGGGGAGGGTGCTCGGATTGTTCACTTCCAGTATGGCACGGAGACAACAAGTGAGTGGAAAGCCCAAAAAAAACAAAAAACCCTGCACGGTTGCCAACCCCTTCCAGCCCCCCCTTTTCCAATACACCAATTTTGACGTAGTTTGTCTCCTATATGAAAGTAGAAGTGACAATTGGTTCTACTTAATTGTTCCAAAAGCAACAACCAAAAAAAAATGCTATTGGTAAATTCAGAAAGATTGACCAATGGAAGTGCCCAGCCTACTATGGAGGAACAGGGAATAGTCAGACCAGGTTTGCACATTAGACATTGCATTTTACAGGGGGAAAAAACTGCAGCTTTGTTAGTGATGTCAGGTTTGGCTGTTTGCCTTGTCCTTACATGCATCCAAGTTCAAGCCTCTGACAAATTACAGCTGAGTTAAACTCAGCCTGGGAAACATGAAGGTTTACGGAGCCAGGAGAGAGAAAAATTAGGCCCCTGACCGCCATCACATGAGTAATAATGCAGGAGGCCACCATGCCAATCTCATCATTATCACAGCATGTAGGCTCTGGTGGCTCAGCAGGCAATGCTGCATTCATTACTAGTGTTAGGCTGCCATCTGGTGGCTACTTTGAAGAATACACCTGATGGACAGCTTTCCAAAAGAAGTCCTCAATCCCACTATACAGTAAAAGGCAAATGGATAAAGCGACACAGACTTTTTGAAAAAAAACAAATGGAGCAGAACATGCAGGCCGATACATTGATGTTCAATGTAAATTATTTTCTCCAGGCCAAACTGATCCGGTTCTTTTTGGATATCAGCTCTATGTACGCTAATTATTGAGGCCTAGATACGCCTCTAACGGAAACAGAAAACAGTTTTAAGATTAAGGCCCGTTCACATTGAGCGGTTCACAAATCGCGCGATTTGCATTTTGCGCGATATTGCGCAAATGCTTGCATTGAGCAAGCTTGAATCGCGGCTAAATCCGCTCCAAAAAGGGTCCTGCTGTAGCGACACACGACCCGCGACAGCAGGACCCTTTGCCCTATTGAGAAGCATTGGAGAGCGATATCGCGCGGTAAATTTCCGCGATATCGCGGGAATTACCGCGCGCTAAATCGCTCAATGTGAATGGGGTCTTATGTGTCTAAAGGATCTCTTTGCACTAATAAAATAAAAAACTTCCAGTATGATCAGCATTGTACATGGAACACCCAAGTGTCACTGTGGTATTGTTTGGTGATCCCCAAGTGTCGCTGTATCATTGTTCTGGGACCCCCACATATCAGCGTGTCATTGTTCCGAGAGTCATTGTTTTGAGACTCCAAGTGTCAAAGTATCCATATTCTGGGACCCCAATTGTCAGCTTGTGCAAGTTTTCCAGTGCAGGCCAAACACACCATACAAAGTCAGCAAATTGCTGCGCCATTAATTTGCAATGATGCCCCAATGAACCAAGTCAACACATATGCATTGCCATGCACCACAACACACTACCATTGGAAAAAAATGGGCGCAGGTCAGTTTTTTGTTTTTTTTTTGTGTTCTGGTCAGAGGCGTCTCTGGCTATGGCAATCACTGAAATTGCGCCCCTTTCTAAAATCTGATACTCCTTTTAGATAATGTTACCATAATATCAACTCAAAAATGCAAGTCAAACTCGCATCATAGTCCCTCTTTACATCAGAGTCCCCCTTATATCTCCCAAGAACTCAGATGTAAGGATGGGGACTCTGAAGTAATGGGGCACTCTGATACAAAGGAGTCCCCATGGTTTTCCCTTATAAGGGGGGATGCTGGGGACTCAGTGCCCAGAGTTCCCCCTTACATTAAACTTCCCAGAGTTCCCCCTTATTTTATAGGCTGGAGTTCCACCTTACTTATAAATGTATTTATTTTTCACCTAGTTGGGCTTGGGGCAGGTAGGCAGCAGCCTCAATTTTCAGGTGAAGGATGGGGACTGGGGAGGCAGCAGGCATTGGACCCCCTGCAATCAATCAACTCCCTGGCTGCAAGTGGCAGGTTGCTAGGACTGCCCGGCAGTCCTAGCAACTAACCGGCAGCTGCAGCGGGTTTAAATAATGGATAGTGGACTGCCACTGTCATTCAACCCTGCCAGAGTGGCAGCGCCGGTTGCTGTTGCCGGTTAGTTCCTAGGACGCCTGTCGGCGGCAGCTGCTGAGCAGTTGAAGACAGTGGACATACGCAGTCATTATTTAATCCCACCACTGCTGCAGTTAGTTGCTATAACCTCTGGCCATCCTAAGAACGGCAGCTGGTGATGCCACGGTCTGCTGTCTCTGTGGGCTCATGACCCATGGAGCTGACCCACGGAGCAGCTCCTCCCCCTTCAAGTGGCACCCAGGGCATGTGCCACGCCCTGGATATGCCACTGCTCAGGTGCTTTGATAGCCCTGACACTATGCACAGTAACGCAAGACATAAAGCACACCAGAGCGTGAAGATGCTCAATGGCAAATCATACCTGGAATCAAAAATATTCCTTAGGGTCTTCCCCATTTTCCTCCAACGTCTTCAATGGAACCATTTCATACAAAATATTACGTTTTTTTAATTAGATTTTTGGTAGTTAAACAATCAGTAAAAATAACATACATAAAACAAACAGATTCAGTTACATACTGGACAAAAAAATCATCTGAAAAGAAACATTAGATTACAAATCATTCGGGTTTAAATGATAAGGTGCAGGAACATTTGTCTCGGTTTCTTTGGACGGGAAAAAATACCAAGTCAAATATGTGACTAATTGTTATGACTGCAGAGGAGCCAACAGCATGTAAATGTATGAAAATATCAGCATATTGAGCCAGGACGTTTTTTCCCCTTTCTGACACAATTATTAAAAAGTCTTTTTATATTGCATTTGTATTACCAGGACAAGAGAAACCAATTTTTAAAACGGAAATTCTCCTTTCTAGCACATGTAATAGTATAAAAACAGAAAAGTGAAGTCCCTGTGAAGGAGTATTTATCAGCCATTTCCAGTTTTTACAAGGAAAACGTTCACATTTTACTTTAACTGCGGAAGCCTGTCCATAGCAACCGATAGTTACGTCCAGTTAGCAATGAAGAGCTCTCACAGACATAGCCTCCTATGTGTCTACAGTTCCCTCATGATGAGCAGACCACAATTATTTCTCATCAAAGGAAGGCTCACTTTGAAGGAATGCAATTTGCAAAAAAAACAACTGTTGCTCCCTTGTAATAATATACATTGTCATTTCCTTCTCATTCAATTTCTATCAGCGTTATTACAGCAGTAGGACTGATCATGTGATTAGAGCAGGCAGTCCCAAACCAATTACTAATAGGTGTAAGAAGTGAAAGGAAAGCATGTGTGAATTTTAACACCGGATCGCACGTGAACCGTGGGCTTTAACAGAGCACATTAATGAGGATTGTGGAGTTGCGTTTTAGACACCCTTCAAACTTATGTGCTGGGGTAATGTGCCATGTATTGCAGAGCCTTTCATTTAAAGGGGCATCACAAGCCATAAGTAGTGGTCCTGCAGCACCTACATTTAAAAAAAAATAAAATGAAGTTCTACAGGTTGTGATTTTTTCCATTTCTGTGCATTGACCGCCAACGCAAAATAATGGGTGTGCCCATTACGCATGTTAGTATATGAACTAGTAACAGAACATACAGCTGTAAAAGGGGGCCCTTAAACCCAACACTCCAGGCAAACCATGGGATGGCTACAAGAAATGGCAAATTGGCCAGAGCTCCTCATTTCATGCACACCAAGCTGCAGTGTACCAGGCCATTTCATTGCCAACAATCTCAATGTTGCCAAAACATCTGTTGCACTGGGAAGTACACTAGGTAAGCCATGTACTGTAAATGATAGGAAAAGAGGAGAGGGAGAGAGGGAGAGAGGGAGAGAGAGAGAGGTTAAAATGGAACAGGACAAGAGCCTGCAGTCCCACTAAAAGCACTGTAAAAAGCCTGCTGAATAAATATAAAACTAGCAGGCTGACTCTGTTGCAGCATTTGTTGGTAGCATTGGCAGGTCACCAACTAGTTTCACTTATTGTCTAGAGCCACTGTCAACAAGTCTCTTGACTCTCCAATTTAAAGTGCTACTTTTATGAAAAAGAATATGAAGATTTCTATAGCTGACCTTCTATGCTAGTTGACTAGTAGTCATTCTGATGTTTCTTAGATAGAAAATGGGACCAAGTATGAAGATAATGAATTCTTAGACAGGTAGTTTTTGCGTCACTCTTGTTCCAAGGCGTTGATTCAGAAATACTGAAGCCAGAGACAGCTAGGAAACTAATATCCGCAGAAGGAGGTCAGTAAAGGAAGCCTCTGTATCTATCACACAACAGGTCTATTTCCAATCTAAATAACAGCAGCCCAAAAGCAGCAAGGCACACCTTCTACAAGAAGAAAAACCCTTTGGGCTTGATCACACCATCTCCATTGAGTTGTACAGAACACAGGCTCAATGCAAGGGCACATAGAGAACAATTGTTTCCCATGTGCCCTGTACACGACACTGCGTTGAGGTGGGTTGCAGTGCACTGCATAAACAAAAAAAATGCAGACATGCTGCATTTTAATGCAGTGCAACTTTGACCACAATGCATGGTTTAAGCAATGAGGATCACCAGCGCTCAAAGGATGAGACAAATCCAAGTGTTCTTTTATTCCAAGAAGCATGTCAGAAGTGTAAAAAAGCCAACATTTCAGAACCACATAGTGTCACTGTTTCCCTGATGAAAGGACCCTGGGTGGTTCCCAAAAAATTGGCTCTTTTACAGTTCTGACACGAGGCTTTGAATAAAAGAAAACTTGGATTTATCTTATCCTTTGAATACAGGTGATCCTCATTGCTTAAACCTTTGATACGCACAGTGGCATCCATGGACATCACTATGAGCACCACTACGATCTTAAAAAACGGTCTCTGTTGCTGTATGGTGTGCGGGGGATATCTGTTTACTTACAGCAATGCATGTCGCTGCACTGAAAAATGTCGCAATGTGCTGCAGTGCATAGACTTTAATGAAGTGCCCTTTTGAAGTGCGGGCTGGTGTGAACGAACCCCTTGGCTCCCTAGAATCCACCAGCCCCAGCATCTTTAGTGGTGATGCATGCTGGGATATAGCCCTAGAGCAGCTTCAAACATACCAGTTGCCTAATTAGGTCTGACCAAGCACAACCCCTGAAGAGTAGCTAAGGGTTATGGTGGGTTTAGTATACAGCAAAAAAAAAAAAAAAAAAAAAAAGGGAGTTTTGTAACAAGTCCCACCCACAGATAAGATCGTCATCTTGGGAACCATTTCAGTTACTGTAAATCAACATTCACACTAAACATTCCGTTTTAAAACTTGAAATTAAAACAAAACAAAAACTAAAAACAAAATCATCACACAGTAGTTACTTGCAATCCGGCACTTGTAAATACTTATAGATTCATATATATATATATATTTTAAAAATGTTCCTTTTTCATAAGGCATCACAGATTGTAACGTCCAGCGTCAGCACAGTTTATCCTTGGAGATATTTCAATAAAACTAAGATTGCACGATGAGGCATTGTCCCCGGAATAAAAACCAGTGTCAGGAAGTGTCCGCTGAATCATCCTCTGAGTGGAGCTGGAGTGTATTTTATCTGGAGCTAAAAAAAGTGTGCTTTTCAGTTCTCGTTACTGACTCCGGCCTCGCTGCAGCTCTGTTCATAGGATGGCGGAGCATCTGTAGAAATACAGGAGGAAATAAGTGCCTTGATTAACAACACTAAAATCTAATCTTACAATCTATACATCCACTTACAAGTCATTAATAGAGGGAAACCAATGGTGTACGTGTACACACACACACACACACACACACACACAGTCTGATTTGCTCCAAGAAAATATTTCAATAAATTTTGCCTAAATGTACAAACAGGACTGAAATATGTTGTGTTCTTTTTTTAAAGATATTTTTCAAGTTGACCTCCCCCTCTCTCAAAAAAACAAAAAATATCACAGTTCCAAAAGTTTTAAAGCATATTGTAAAAAAGTGTATTTGATTGATTTTGATCCTTTAAAGCTGTGGTGCCCAATCTGTGGCCCAATAGCTACATGCGGCCCTTTGGTGCTAGCTGTGCAGATCTTTGCAGACCTCAGTAATGGGACTGGAAGCATTGACTTGTAAAGGGGCTGTAATGACAGTGATCTCTAGCAGTCTCATATAACATGTCACCAGTCACGGACTGTCTCATGCAGCATGTCTCCAGTCTCCAACTATATCTGTAGCAGCTCTGCAGTCCCTGACCATCTCCTCTAGTGAGCCTGCAGTCTATCACAGTCTTCTGCATCATTACATATACTGAATAATATGCAGCCCATTGGTGCTTTCAGAGGCCACAATTCAGGCCCACTGATTTAAAGTGTATTGAAATCCCAAGCTGTTTTCCAAGTTAGGATTTTGGCTGGAGCGTAAAAGGGTTAGAGCCTCTATCTAGACATCTATTGCTGCCAGGGTTCTGGTGGCCCATTGTCACTTTGGAAATGAAGGGAAATATCCTCACCACGTCACAGGCAACAAAAGGACTTCTAACTGTACCTTACTATGGCTTCAACATTTCAAATTGCAATAGCCAATAGCAGGCTGGCTATTGCACCCGCCCACTGCTTGCTGTGCCCTCCTCCCAACGTGCAGAGCTAGGGAATCCAACCAACTAATCGATAATTAGAATAGTTGTTGACTTTTCTCAGTTAGTTGCAGACCTATACCTTATAAAAATATATTTTTTTTAAAAGGATCCTTTGAGCCTTTGATATACTTTAATATATTGAGCTTCTGGTTTTTTTTACATTCTTTAATGTAATGCTTCATTGAGCTTAGCTTTGCAGCAACAAGTAGAAGTCAATACTTCCATCATATACATTACTCCAAATTTCATAATTACTAGCAGTTAAAAGAGCACTTACCATAAGGATAACCCCATGTGCTGTACTCAGGGGGTAGGATAAGTGTGCTGGCTGTCGGCACTGGAACAACTGCTCCCTCAGCATAATAAGGGACTGTGGACCCCGTGGATAAGCAGAGAGTCGGGTGCGAGGGTGAGCCCAGATTTTCCATCTGTTGGTTTGGAAAGTTCAGCTCGGGTGCATAGCTGAATGGGGTATTTGCTTGCTGCTGGGAGTGGCACTTGGTGGGGATAGACACATTGTCCATTGGCTGGGTGCTGCCACACTGGTCATCATCAGCAGGGGGCGCTGAGGGGACGACAGGAGCTTGCACCTGTGATATAGAATGTCTCAGTCCTAAGCGGGCTTGACTGACTGGTATATTTCCGATGTAGATAGGCAATGTTACCGACACTTCTGGACTTTTTACGGTCACCTGTGGAGAAAAGCAGAAAAATAAAATGTAATCCTGGTTCATATCATATCCAGAAAAAGCTGGTTAGGTAAATTACGCTACAATTAACAAATTAGCTATAAAGGCAGGTCCCTTGAGTGTAATACCCATCTGCAGCCTTGGCACAGTTCCCAGCTGCTCCCAGGAAGAGACTCAGAGGTCAACCGGAGTTCCAATGGTTACTGCTTTGTCAAATGCCTGACCCTGCACATACTGCACACTCAGGGGCTGGGAAAACTGCATGGAAGGTCATTCACAGTGCAACAACCTTTGAAGAATTTAGTCTCACTTGTTTTTAGCACCAAAAAGAAGAAAAAAAACAGGACCAGTCTTCCAGAGTGGACAAAGAACTTACCACTGCATGGCACAGGGTATATCTAAGAAAATAAAAGCCCTCAATTTGCCTTAAAAACTAATTATATGGAAATTCATCTCAGTTCCACTTTGAGGATACCCTTATTAGAATTATGCATGCCTTTCCTTTTACTATTACTATTACTTTTTTCTCATGCACAAAGTTTAACCCATATGCAGAAGTCACTGCCAGGGCAACCTGCCACTTCTAGCCAAGTACTAAAGGGAGGCCACTTAATGACTGGTTATCATCGCCATGGCGGCACCAAGCCTCCGATCCTTGGAGCCAGAAAAGTTACCAATGCACTAAATACAGGGACTGATTTTTAAATGGAATATGGGGCGGTCCCTTAGTGTAGTGTGCTTTAAATCCATCTTTAATAAATGGCAACTATAAGACGCTTTAAGGGTAATGTCCCTTTAAGAAAACCCCTGCCAGGAAGCCAATATTGAACGGCACAAAGGCTGCTCTGTTTTCAGGTGAACACAAGTGCCTTCCCATTCTGTGTCTAGTACATCTTGTTCTGCCGATCTCTGCGGAGGAAGGACAACGTCAATAAACTCGATAACTCATTACATTCCAGCCAGATCATTTGACTTTGGTCAGAATGTCCGTATAACTGGGTTCTGCTTGTTCATCCACAAGTTCTGTTTAATGCCATTTGTGAAGACACGCCACAGACCCTGATGACTAAGGAACCATCTTCATTTTGTGGCAATCAGCTTTATTTAAAGGGGGCGAGTTCAGCAGATGTTGGTCATAAATAGCAATGCTCTTTAAATTGTTAAGTCAAATCAGATTTATCTTACCATTTTGAAAGTATAAAAACCAGCCTAACAGGTTTAGGTTAATGCATCAGCTTGCAAACAAATAAATACAATTGTGCAAGGAGTGGCCCAGCTGGGCATATTCACCTTAAAAGCACCGGTCACAAATGGCTATATGTAGTATCTGAATATTCAGTCTTAAATTATAACCAAGCAGGATTAAGTCTGAAAAACTATACTTGCCTCATTATTTAGCTTTACTTTCTTTGAATCAGACTCCTCAGGCTCAGAGTTGAGCTCAAAAGGTCAACTTCCTGACTTTACACATTCTCCCAGCTTCTTAGTGTGCATACAAGTATCAAATAATAGAGCATCTAGTTATAGTAGACCTAGCATTAGCATTTTCAGGGTAGAAGCATGCAGGTTGATCAATTAGTACATTTAACATTTAAAGTAATTATTACTTCTCACAGACATCATGGTTCTCCCCTATCAAAGCCTTCCTCAGCTTTATTAACAGAAGGACGGCATCATCATTTTTTTAGGCATCATCCAGACACAGTATCTACTTTGTGGATGAAGATTCTTGCTCAGAGATAACAGTTGTGTAAATTCTGTGACCTCTGTGACTTGCGCTAAAGCTCAGTGATCATTGGAGAAGAGAGGGATAAGGAAATGCTTTTTCCTGCCTGCAGCAGACTAATTAAAACATCTCAGTCTGGGCCAAGTCAGCTGACTGGTATTAAAGGGCTGCTTTTTAATGATAAAATGTAGAACCAACCATTCGTATAATGTGACTTATCAGATATTTATTTATGCAGACATTTAAAAAAGTTAATGTAAGGTGCACTTTAAGTAAACTACTAAAACGTGATTCAGCTGTACTGTTGCAAATCTGTCTCATCTTAACTGAACAAAGCTGATTGGTTACTATGGGTAACTGCTCCAGATTTTGCTTGCTTTAGTTCTGATAGATTCCCCTCACTGTATCCTTACAATGGCTTTGTGGCCCCATAGCAAAAGGCTGTGCCTTACCTGGAGGTAGTAGTCCATCTGGATGAGGCTGCATCCCTGTAGGATGGACTGCGGCAGAGCCGGAACCAAGATCTGCTCGTCCCATACTGCGTGTTTCCAAGCCTTCACTGGAGCCCCTTCAACCTCTGCAATTGTCCGCAGGTCATAAACGCAGCGCTTTGATCTGTAGGCAACTTTCTGAGTTCAATAAGAAAAAAAAAAAAGACTTTGTAAGAAACAAAACTGAAATACCTCCAGTTATCCAATCTTCACATTATGCATCTCCAATATTGAAAATCTCTTAAAACATTATTATTTCTCTTCACAAAAGTGTTCAGTTGTTTTTCTTGGTTAGGGAAGCCTGCAGGATTACAATAATCCCCTGCTAACATGAATGGGTTAAATGATCCTTAGTGCAACTACATGTTATGTACTACACTACACTACAGCAATAGTTACAATTCTCCACTGCAACATGAATAGGTTAAACCATGATCCATAGTACATAACATGTAGTCGTACTATGGATCATTTAAAGTCACCTGTCCCTTTAGGAAAAAGTATCGGTAATTAGCATCGGCAAGTACATGAGGGGATGTACTTGTACTTGGGCCTGAAAAAGTGGCATCGGGACATCCCTTTAGAGGGTGATGCTCCCCAGCGGGGACATAGACAGCAATAAAAACCTGGAACATATTCCAATTTTATCTCCATTTAGAAATTTTAATAAAGATTAAACGCATTTACACTGCTTGTCTCAAAACGGTTAATTTAAAGTGAAACAGACTTTAAAACATTTTTAAGTTTTGGATATAGTGGAGAGGGATTAGAATACCCGTCAGATTTTGATTGTTGTCTCCATAAAGAAGAGACCCTCTCTGTTTGTCCTGCTGACAATTACTCAAAAGTGATTAGATGGGAAATATTCAAGAACAGGAATAGATGGGAAATATTCAAATGGGGACACCAATTCTGGTGACCCTGCTGGCCACCAATAATTTCCCTCCCACTCCCTGTTGTGGCCATCAGACAGGAAGTGAAGGGAAATCTCTCCCTTATCCAAAACTTAAACAAAAAAAACTCAGAGACACAGACCAGGAAAGGAGAAGAAATCCTCCTCCTAGACAGTTGTCACCAGGTGTCCCTCATTAGAAGAGCTCCTCTCACCTCCTGTTCTGGTGACAACTGTATAATAATTTTGGATTACCTGTCACTTTGACTCCGCAGCAATGTCAGAACAAAAAGAGGAAAAAAAAGTTGGGAGAAATGTCCTCTATTACAGCGCTGCCCCTGAGGTGAGGGTGAACAAATATCGCTTGCGTTACTAAGTGTGCGGCTCCTGAAAATTGCGGACCGGGGTGTCCAACGTTTTGCTGATAGAGAACATAAAAAATGCAGAAGCGCACTACCAAGTAGTGACTGAGCAGGAGAAAATAATCGAATGAGACTTACCAGGGTGTGGGTACTAGCGCGTTGTCAGCGGTGAGATCTGGATGAAGGGTTGCTGGTGGTGGTGGGCAGGCTAATGTGTAAATCGTTGGTGCTGGAAAGACTACGATGTCAAAGGGGAACTGGGTCCGACGTTTAATGTGGCTGGGATCTGAGGGGGCGGCTCGGGTTTGGGAGAAAAATTGGCTGTCTAAAGCGTGCTAGCTGCTGGTGGATGTGTACCTGAGATCTGTGTTTGTGTGTGTGTGTGTGGGGGAGCTCCGGTGAACAGTTGAAGCTGTCAGGCCGGGAATGTCCGGGGGAAACCACTAGTGCGGAAGCTAGCCTGGAGGTGGATGTTGGGGTCGGGTTGGGACTACCCCGCTCGAGGGCACGAGCGGCACGCCCGAAGCAGCGAGCGGTGCGTCCGTGGGGTACAACGGGTGGGAACGAGTGGCGGAGGTTGTGGGTGAAGGAGTTCAAAACTGGCTATGCGTTTCGAAGAGCGGGTCTTTTTCAAGCCACTGAGTGAGTGTCACTCAGTGGCTTGAAAAAGAAGACACATTAGCCGGATTTACACATTAGCCTGCCCACCACCACCAGCAACCCTTCATCCAGATCTCACCGCTGACAATGCGCTAGTACCCACACCCTGGTAAGTCTCATTCGATTATTTTCTCCTGCTCAGTCACTACTTGGTAGTGCGCTTCTGCATTTTTTATGTTCTCTAAGAACAAAAAGAGGGCAACTCCACAGTGAGGACAGCAATAAAATCCTGACAAAGATTTATAATTCTCTGCTCCAACCATGATAAAGAATAAATAAAATAAAAAAGGTTTTGTATATAAATATTATAGATATACTTTGATAAATAAGCATATGAAACATATGAAATTAAATGTATAAGAAAATTTCAGGAGCAGCTCATACCACCCTTACCTGGATAAGAGCTGCCACGATGGCCCCCGTGTCCCGACCGGATTTATTTTCTACCTCTGTGTGGATTTTGATAACTTGGCCCACTATATAGCCCCGCAGGTCAGAGGTCACACTGAGCAGCAGCTGGCCTGATTTCACTAGCTTGTAGTTAAACTTCTTAGTGGAAGTAGCGCAACTGAGTTGCTGGAAGAAAAGGATAAAGTCAAATTAAACTGAATGTTTTAAACACACCGAGTACCTCATTGACTATACCTCATGTCTTCGTCATGATAGAACAATTGTCTCTGACAAGACAAACTCTACATACAAATCATGTCCTTTTCTTTTTAGGCTACATGCTATGGAGGAATAGACCTCAGCAGGCGTCAGTGTGTACTTATCCAGGGCCCAATTTATACTCCCTACACCCCTGGGCAAGCTCCCTTCTCAGCCCACCTTCTCCACTATTCCAGCCAACCATGTACCCTAAAGCTGTCCATACACTTCCATTTTTTTCGTTCAATCTGCAGGTTGAATTAAAAAAAATAAAACAGATCCTCCATCAATGCTATGAGTGATAATTGAGGAATCCCTGCCGTTTTTGTATTGTGACAAACAGCTGCAGGCCACTGTCAGAATACCCGAACAGAGCCAGCAGCTCATAGGCTGCCCACTCTGTACCAAGATTTTCCAACTGGCGCCTTTGGCTGGCATCCAGCTGATCGAGGGATGCCAGCCAAAAGGGTGCAGACAGCAGCACCCACTGTTTAAAATTCACATAATGTATGGCCAGCTTAAGTGTCCTACTAGAAAGATCAGACGTCACAGCTGCACAAGGCATGTTGTTGCTGAAAGAAACAAACAGTTTGCCTATTTTCCATCAATACACCAGGAACAAATGACTAGAAGAGGTCTTAGAACCAAATCATTTGGATCTCTTAGAACCAAAACGACCAATAATGTTCAACTGCTGTTCAACTTCGGCCTTAATATTCTCAATGTACATCCAATACAGCATGCACTGTCACCCTATTTGCTTGAAGTTCAGTTCTAGATGGTCAGACCCAGTATAGGACTCCGCCAGCAAAGATGCACAAACTGTGCAGTCAGAACAGCAGTCTGGTGGTTCTTACCATTAGCAACAGGCCATGCTCATATTAGCTATGTAAAATCTGGCCTTGCACTTATCCTTTAACAGGAATGTATTATATCAAACATGTTTTTAAATACAGTAAATTAAAAAAAAAAAAAAAAAAAAAAAAAAAAAACTCACGCAGGGCCTCTCATTGGCTTCTTATATCTCAGAAGGGCTACACTAGTAAAACATTCTTGCTTCTTAGTTACACTGCCCACATTCTAAAGCTTCTCCAAGAGAGTTCATATTCCCCACTTGGTGCTTGATCTATCAGTTTATTGTGATACCATTATTGGAGTCTGAGTGACAGAAAAAGCTGGCAGAGGATTCAAACCACCAGTGTCTTCCTGGCCAAAATATCAGTTTTGGGTGGACAGACTCTTATAACAATAAAACACTTACATCTATATCTGGAATTTCGTTCAGGTCCAGGGGACGCAGGATATAGAAGAGTTTACTGGTCTTGTAATCTTTGGACAGCTTCCGCGTTTCAATAACTCCCTTCACCTGATGCATCACCTTACCAAACGGCCCTTCGAAGGATGTTGGTGCTGAAGCTGAAAAGATGACAAACATGAATCCGTGGTGTAGAGCACAGGGGAGGATGGCATGTATATACTGATTAGGGCTGTGCATTGCAATAAAAAAGGAAGCTGTTAAATTGCTTTAATATAACTGAATAGTATAGGCAACCCAACAGAAAATAAGACATTTATGTAACTTTGCTATAGTTGCGGCCTACTGCAGTTAGCAGACATTTTAGACTTAAGAAGGCCAAATGTTATAACCGGCAGTAGTGTGTTACATAGATGCAGCACAATCCATGTTACACCATAGTCCATAGTTACTCCAAGACAAGGTTAAAGCACTTATCCAACAGCCCCCTGCCCCCCCAACTATACCTTGCCCATCTTCCCTACCCAGATGCAGACATCTCTGGACAGCCACTGCCTCTGGTGTTTGTTTACATCCTGCATCGAAAGCCTTCAGTGTCTGTGCAGTGCATCCCCAATGACTTTTACAATGTTGTCTCCAGAGGCCAGAGATACTTAGGACACAACCCCGTAGAAGTCTATGGGGAGCTACTATTCAGATACATATGGGACTGTCTCCAGAAGGAGCTGTTGTGCAGACGCGGCCACAACACTGAACACCTGTGATGAAGGGTGTAAACACTGAAAGCAGTAGCTGTTGAATCAGGGTGGGGAAAAAGGGGGGGAAAGAATCACTTGTATTAAAAATTGGACTTATCCTTTAAAGGGAATATTTCAGGGTGGTGTATATGGGATTTGCAATTACCCACTTGTTTTGGCTGGTGCAGGCTTTGATTCGGTCATCCTCATCCTTCCTTTACTAAGAAGAGAGCCACTTTTGTGTACAGAGAAGCAGCCAGTGAAATGTCAGGACCCCAATATACACATGCTTGGTTTGGGTCAGTGACTTGCCATCCAGTGAAAATGGACAGGTATGACAACAAGCTGGAGCCAGCAATGTCAAAATCGGTAAGCAGTGGCAGCTCCTATGATAATGCCCAGTGGCAGCTCTTTTAGTCTCCTTGTCCTCTAAAAGAGACAGTTACATGGTCCAATGTCCATTTATCACATAGTTAGACAGCCAATCTCATTTGCTGATATTACCTGGTAAGAGAAACTGGAAGGGGAAGGTGTGTTCTCCTGGTTGAAGCATTCCTGGAAAACACAGACAATTTCACCATTATAAGACAGAATCTATAGTCCTTTTTTTAAAACAATGCATGTGGAAACAGATTAGGATAAAGAGACCCTGTCATCACAAAACACAAGCCCTGTAACAGAAGCCAATCTATACTTACCTTTTCCACCAACATTTACTGCTCCCCAGCTGCCACAGGTATTTAACTCTTAATGTAGTGAGGTACAAGTTGGCGAGAGGGACCAATAAGTGTGGCAGGACAGACTTGTATTCACACACAGTGGAATAATGAAGCAGCCGGAGAGAAGTGAATCCCTGACATTTTAAGCCAAGGGACAGCAATATAGATGGACTTCTTTAAAGAGGCCTGGTGTTCTTTATAGTCAAGATATAGACATAATATCATGCGATGCTAAAAATAGGCTCTCTGTAGCCTCTGATAAGATGAAACATCCACAGTGCTCTTGGAAGCCAGAAGCCATGTGATTCAGCTCACATAATGAGTTTGGTAGTAGCATTTTTTTCATGCAAAGTAAAATGTATTATAAAATGTATTTATTATTATTATTGCAATGCTGATAGGCAGCCTACTTATCAGTGTGGAGTATGATTTTTACATCTGAAAAGATACATTGAAAAGAAGACCACCACTGAACTATTTGCATCAAAAATGGCTTTATTACCCCATTTAGAAAAACAAACCTTTTAAATGTAAAAAAATAGTTACTTTACGATACCTCATTTTACCTCATCTGCCTTCCACAGAAGTAAAAATGGAAATCATAGCTTCTGTGCGTGGCCACTTAATTTATATTAAATAGAAACTGAACAGGTTTCAGCACACCCACTGAAAGATACATTTGGCCTACAGTGGAAATGCCTACTACTCTCACTGGCTATAAGGAGATGGCAGTTGGTGGAGCTCACCCATTATCTGTGATATAGTTAAACTAAATCAGAGAGAGGAGCATAGAAGAGATAATAAAAGGTAATCATGTGGTCTGTGGCCACAGGCAGCTCTTCTACTTTTAAAAGTTTGTAATACAATGAAGCTATTTGGTAGGCTTACAGGAGGAAAAAAGTTCAGGGTGGGCTTCTCCACAGTATCAATTACCCTAGTATTCTAGCGTTAAGGTACAAGGCAGGGCAGAAGCATGCAGTTGTTAAAATTGCAGTTTGAGAGGTATGGTCACCCTCCTTGTGACCTGTAGTACTACAGAGCATGGGGCATATCACAAGAGGAAGCTGGTCATACAGTGTGAAATTTGTTCAGTGGGTTGCCTTGTTGGTAGCCTCCCATCCAGCATCCTTCATTCAAATAAAATTGTAGAAGCCAGTCAGAAATTTTTTGCGTGAACAGTGATGGCTGCTGTCACTGTTCGGGTATTACGACCGCTGTCAGAATACAATAGCCCAGCGGGGGATTCATCCAAACCTGTTTGGTGTGAATGTAGGAATCGGTTATATTTTTTCGTTCAGCCCGCAGTATATGTACAGCTTTACTTTACAAAGGCTTTGCCAGGTAAATTACTTCGTAATATGTTTTCAGCCAAGTATCTGGCAGATTGGCTGGAGTTGGTCTTAAGGAAAAAACCATCTATTCCTGTAATATGAACAATATATACTCTATGCCCCAGCTAAGGTTTCTGAGAAAACCCACTTGAGGGCAAAGAAGTATATTGATAAAATCTTGGAAGATATTAATAAGAAAAAAAATCAATATCAGGCACGGTGCTGAAAGCCTGCAAGGATTGAGCAATATTTATTCTATGAAATAGAATTTTCAGCTGCTCCCCATGCAGCTTTTCCGTGTTATGACCTAAACTGGAGCAAACCCAACTGAGAAGACCTTCCATGCAGAGGACAAGGCCGTTAAGCTGGCTTCATACCAATGTATTTTGATAATACTCATCACTGCAATGCATGATAAGTGTGCTGTCCTTGTACCATTCCTTCAGAATGACACTCCAGCGCTCAATTACAGTACCCCACAATGCGCTCATGCTGCAGTGCACTGCAAGACATGCGCCATAATGCGCTGTATTAAAAAACGCTGCAAGGACAGTTTCTACCATAAGCGTGTGTTGGAAGCGGATTCTAAAAAGGTGGCCACACACTAGCAGTTTCAATTGGAAATTTTCCGTTCTGCCACGAACCCTCATTTGATTATAGCTCGAATACCCCATCAAGCATAGTCAAATGTCGATTTTCAAAAATCGTTAGCTATACTAACCAACCAGTTTTTGCAGAACGATGGAAATCATTTCCTTTTGCGCATGTGCTGTGTTCTTGCAGAGATTTTTGACATACGAAAACCCCAATAATTCATTGTTTTTGTTGTTCGGTCAGAAAAATTTTTTTCCAACCTGACCAAACAAAACATTTCGATCACAATATCCAAAACGAAAGTCAGTGATGTACCATCAACGGTTCGGTTATCGTTCAAAAGACCATTCGTGTATGCGCACCTTAAATGCATTGGCTACCTTAATGCAACGCACCGAATTCATAGGCAGCCTGTAAACGCAACCCCTTAATCTACAAGTGCCATTTAAAAAACCGCACCAAGGCATAATCTTTGTTCCAAAACCTGGTAAAGCAGGCCTTGAGATCTCTCCACCATGGCCCTACCAACATGCATTAAACACGCAACAGCACTGGCTATATTCACAAGAATCAGTATGATGCCTGCTACAGTGAAGGAAGTAATTGGTTCATTCACCTCATGTGACATTAGCCACATACAGTAAAAGTGTTTCAAACAAGAACTACTGGAATTTATTGAATGAATTGGTAACAAGGAAAATATTGCAGGGTTTTCATGCATTTGGCACAAGGCTTCAGACTTCATTCACACACCCAGAAATGTATTGCAAATTTCTGAATCAATTTTATTGAATCGCCCATATACATTTACACAGACTTACAAGTACAAAGTCGATAGGCAGAGTTGACTCCCTGGAATGTGTTGCCAGAGTTAGTAGAACAGTTGAAAATATAATCTTTAAGACGTGCAATTACATCTGCGTCACAAATGGTTGGGCTGTGAGAAGGAGCAAACATATTTGGGCCTGTGTCAATGGGCTTTTGTTGTCATCAGAACTGATTTTCTGTCCATACAAGCCAATGGTGATACAAAAGCAGCTTAAAACAGGTTGGTGAAGCTTAGGAGGAGATCACATGCATGTCAGAAGGAAGTCAACTAGACCGGTCAGTGAATTCTGAATGATTTCAAAAGGGTCTCAAACGGTTATCAAATGAGAGCAGAATGCACCTGAATGCATGATGCATTTGCCCATCAACACTAATCCTATAAAGATAAAAAGGTGAGCGAGCGAGAGAGAGAAGGTGGAACTTTGGGAATTTAACCTCCAGACTGACAACCATCCATCAAGGCATTTTTGATGAGGGCTGAGGGCTCGCCTGCATTGCATAGAGACCCAGTGATAATGTCAATGGGTCTAAAATAAGGTATTTCATAAAAAAAATTTAAAAAAAAGGGATGGTTAAAAATATGAGCAGATTACATAATTAAATATCAGGTATGTTTACCTTATGTCCCACATTAAGGGTGCAACATGAAACATGGTCAGATCACAGATCGCGACATCACCACACTTGCAGTCCATTGATACTTCCTCCTGTCCATGTTACCGAATATCCATACCTCGGTATGGACATGTGGAAGACTCTGCAGGAGCCAGAGCTTTACACCCACAATCTACTGATCACGGTTGCAATGCCTTACTGCCTCCTATGCAAAAAAACATTTTTTTTTCTTTTATGAAGAAGCTTGTATTTCCTTTTAACCGAATGCCCACTTTACTAGTCAAAAAGGTAAAGCATACATTTCCTGTCACCCAACAAATTTGAAATGCGGTCTGAAAAGCATGGAGCTATTAATGGATGTAATCTGACAACTAAAGTTTATAAGAACTACATTATCTATAACCAAGAAACATGTGCATTTACTTGATAGCCAACTCTAGCAGGGTGCAAGGAACCACACAGCCTGCTATCAACAGCGGCTTCAAAACTACAGTTACTCTTTGTGCGGAAGGAATCAATGACAAGCCAAGAACTTGGACATAATTAGATAATAGCTACCAGTACTTCTTTGCAGCTTAAAACTGAAAGTAAAAACATGTGTTTTGTTTTTATCTGGATTGAGTAGGGCAAGTTAAAAAAAATCTCCTTTTTGAGTTATGGTCTCGTTGTACTCCAATCAGGTATACAGACCACTGCCTGTAATTTGCAGCCCAATTATAAAATGTGGGCATGTTGTAGGGCCAGCAGTACTTAAAGTGACATTAAAGTAGCATTAAGGTCTGGGCGTTTAGCTTAATGCATTCTCTGCATTAGGGTAAAAACAGGCCAGCACCTTTTTTCTACCCCAGTCCCCCCCAAACTTACCTGTCAGCTCGTCCCCGCCACCGGTCCAGAATCAATCCTCCGTACCCTGAACCTCCGGGTTGCGGGGAAGGATACTGATGGCAGAAGGAGCCTGATCCAGCGCTGACTGCTGTGTCTTCTGTGTCCCATGGTGTCTGTCCGCGTGCACGCTCCCGGCTGTGCCTCTCCTCTTCTCCCGGCTGAAGATCACTACTGCACATGCGCCCTCCCCATGATCTTCATAGCCGCTCGAGAATCAACAGATCGGAGCGACTGGCGGAGACACAGGTACGTTTTTACCCATTTGGTAATTTTCTTTTATGTTTTTGCATACTGCTTGCATTATTGTACTTTAATTAAGTATAGAGAGCTCCAAGAACGAAGGAGAGCTGGTCATGAGACTTTAAAAAGGTCACGTGACCATGTTTTTCTTCCCGATGTTTTTTGTTTTATCTCCCATTCATTTAATAGCAGTCCACTAGCTTCAGGCTTCCGAAGCTGGCAGAGCACTAAGCACATAAAGAATATAGCTGTGCTCTATAAATGTGCCATGACCAGTACAGTCCTACTGCTACTTTTTAAATCAGTCCCTTTATCAGACATCTCAACTCTCCCGGACAAAAGATAGCGGCTCCCGGACGCCAGGGAGAGAAACATTTTATCCCGGAAAGGTCTACTCTGTTCTATCTAGCAAAGTAAACATTTCCCTGCTGTCTGGTTTGTGCTTTTATTTTGATATCGAGGCCGCCGTCAGAACAAAAAAGACCGCATGGAAACTAATAGGCTGCTACTGGCTATTTCATTTGCAATGGACAATAGCAGGCTGGCTATTGTACTCGCCCTTTGCTACTGTCAATCAGCAGAGGTGGACATTAATTTCTCCATCAGGTGAATATTCCCTGGGGGAGACGGCTATTAAAATTTGACCAAGCTTTTAAACACTGACCCAGACTATGAAAGAAAAAGAAAAAAGAAAGAGTTTCAGTTTTAGATATGCAGAGAAGGGTCAGAACGTCTGTTTTTCCCCTGTGTGATCACCAAGACAGGAAGTGATGAGACATTTTCCTAATGAACACCAAGAAATAAAAGCCAAAATCTGTTGACTGGAGTGTTACCAGGGAAGAGTCCGATAGATTTACCTTTGTCTGCTAATGAGAATGTTCCACTGAAGTACTGCTCCTCTATGTTCCATGAGGTCTCGTTGACTTTGTTTGACACACCGCATGACCCAACACAGTTGACTTTGATGGCTATGGAGGAAAAGAGAAGAGAGACGGGGTTAGATGTGCTGAAATCATTTATCAGAATGCACCATATTCACAGCCAAGTTTTTTTTAGCACTTTCCATCACCAGAGTATTATAACCAGATTTTTTTCAACTGTTGATGGAGTTGGAAGAACTGTGTGACCCCATTATTGGGGTGATTTCCCCCTACTTCCTGTCCCTGTGACACCAGGACAGAAATCGTGGAAAGCAGCGATCACAAGGACAGGAAGGCAAAGACAGAAAAAAAAAAATTATGGTCAGATAGTCTAACCCTTCCTCACACTGTGTCCCTGTTAGAGAAACTTTCCATCACTTCCTGTCGAGACAGGAGGTAAGGGTAAAGCTCCCCAACAGGGACAAACACAGCAATAAAAACCTGAAAGAGTCTACAACGCTTTCACTTCACCAGAAAACAAAATAGCAAGTTTTGTCTGGAGTTTGGGAGACTTTAGGCAATGCTGCATGCAAAAAATAAAATTAAAAAGCCCCTTCTAAAAGGAAACAAAATCTTATATTTAAAATGTTTTACGTGCTAGGCCTGTAAGTAAACACCACACACACTGGCTATTTGAAGTGAACCTGTCATGCCGAGAGCCATCATGACCTGCTTTTAGGGATGCAGATATTGGAGCAGTCATCCCAATCCTGGCTGCACAATTGTTTCTGCACTTCTAAGCTTACAGCTTTCAGAGGATGAGACCACCTCTTAGAAGCAATGCAAGTACCCAGAAGTTCTTTCCAGCTTGGAAACATTTTTAGGTGTTCATAACTCCCACAAGCCCCCCATCCGTGACATATAAAGGGTTAAACTTGATCAGGCGGCTTCCCCGTCTTCCTGCGGTCTTTTCCATAGAGCTGAGGGGGAGCAGGGTTCCCCTGGTAACAGAGGAAGCAGCAAAGTCTGCCCTATAAATAGCCAAGCGCTCAGTCTGTGTCTTCACCTTATCAAGTCACAGCGGCGATGGACAAGTCACAGGCCCCAGAATTACCCAGAAGCCTCTAGTTCACGGCCATCCAGCCTTTAGGGAAGTAAAAATACCATAATGACCTGCCAGAAGTTAGCAAAGTCTGTTGGTATGCACATTTCATGCCCAACTCTAGAAAACTTTTTAGGTTTAGTATGAGCTGTGAACCCCTTTAAAAAAGGTGTTTACTACTGTCTGTGTCCCCACTAGAATGATTTACCCATTCTTTGTTTCCTGGTGACAATTGGGGCATAAAGTGAGAAACCCAAACTTTTTCAGTTGTCACCAGAACAGGAGGTGAAGGGAAATCTTCTAGCGGGACACCTGTCCTGGTGACAACTGTTCAAAAGGGGATTTTCCCTTATTTGGCGTGATTTCCTCTCACTTCCTGTTGTGTCCAGGGCAGTAAATGAAGGGAAGGCTTCCAAACAAGAGAAGGTACGGAGATTTCCCTTCACTTCCTGTTTTGAAGACATAACTAAGTGAAAAGGAGATGACCCCCAAATTGAGGCAAAAATCCCACCTTTGACCCCCACCAGATCATTTCCTCTTCCGATGACAATATTTTGAATTTCCCCATCACTTTCTGACCCAGTGACAATTATTCACCAGGGCATATAGAGAGGGTGAATCACAGACTGCAATCAAACTCAAACACTGGTTTTATTTTGAATAAGAATAGAGAATTTGAATAAGAATAGAGAACAGAAAATGAGATCTGCATTTCTGATGCACTTGCTTTTTTTAAAGTCTTAGGTACTGTAATTGAAGAATGAATTGAATCTTATAATTTAGGGGGTCTATTTTATAAAGGCTTTCACCCAAGATTCACACAGTTTTCACCCAGAATGTAACCATTTTATAATTCAAATCACATTAGAAATATGTGAATCTTAGGTCAAAGTTGGGTCCTTTTAATTTATAAATAGACTCCTGTGTGTCTGCTGGAGCTTTTAGTAACATCAGTTTGAAAGGTTATAAATAGGGATGCACCGATCCCGGTTTTTCGGTATCAAAATCGAAATTTGTAAAGTTCATTTTACATTTTAAAGTCCTAGAAATCCCGCTTTTAATGACCTATCAAATATTGGACCATTTGCAAACAATAACACATTTCAAATAACCCAGCACTTTTTATCGATGGCATCCGATTAAAACCCTATACTTTTCCGCACAATCCTGTACGTTTTTTTTTTCCCCAGAAGCCCCCATGAGACTAATCGCAGGAAGTTAGAGACTGCACGCTTTGTTACATCTACAAATGAGGCCAAACTGGTTCACTAAGCAGCACTTATTTCCCTCTCCCTGTTCGGCTGGAGCGCTAATATCCTCTGTAACCACCAAATAAAAAGGAAACTGAACAGGTCTGCAATGTACACAGAGGACAGAAAAAGGACGAGAGTCATAAGAAGAGGGTTAATAAGAGACTCATTCAAAAGAAAGATTTACGTTTCCTGTACAGTTGTTAGAAGATTTCAATAAAAGGTTTTAAAAAGGAGTTGTAAAGTGCCAGCATATCCTATCCTGTTCTAACATCAGCACTGTAATATGAATACAGAGTAGAGTTGTTTATGATGATGCAATCAAAACTTACTTGGAAAAAAAATCCCTTTTATGTAGCGAGTGCTGCCTTCTGTCTGCCCACAACTTCCTGGATTTTCAGGGTGCTTTGCGTCTCTTTCCCTGCTGCTTAAAAGGAGAACTATGGGGTCAGTGTTTTTCCCCATAGTTCTCCTCAGGGTAACAGGAGGACACAAACTAGCGTCCTAACGTCACCCTAAGCTCAGTATACCGCCAGCTACAGCTCGCGGTATACTGAGACGCCGCAGCCGGAGCGGATCCCGACTTAGACGACGGGATCCGCCCAGCTGCGTGAGTGACAGCTGGCTCTGCCTATCTAGAGGCAGAGCCAGCTGTACCCGCCCCCTCCCCCGTCCGTTCCGCCAGTCAGATCGGAGTGGGGAGGGGGGAATCCAGTCCCTCCCCTGTCACGGCAGAGAGCCGTGACAGGATCGAGAGGTGAGCGAACCCGCTATGTGTTCGCCCACCTCCCGATCTACTGAGCCGACCTGTGACAGTCTCATTGTCACAGGTCGGCTAGAACTATGAGGTGAGGAGCTTCTTTTGGGGCGTATTTCCGTGCGTATCCATTAGAATACAGCCGGGTGGCTTTCGTAAACGCATGTTTGATGCGCATTTTCGCAGACAGCAAATCGCGGTAAAAACACGACCCGTAACGCGTGTCAAATGCGCATATCACGAACGCCCAGGTGTGAACCTAGCCTTAGGGAGTTATTGATAAAGGTTGTCAATACAATCGTCTTTGCTGATTGAATCAATGAAAGAATGAGTGAATGTCACCCGGTTTCTTCTGAAACATTTTGATATCAAAAGTTGTAACGCTGAAGGAAAGTTTTAAAAAAATCAGTGTAAGATTGCTGAAATGGCATTGGAAACAAATTATAATATCACTTCCCAGAGATTCAGCATTCCTCCTCCTGAAATATTGAACGACACCAGTTTTAAAGGTGCTGTCAATCAACTGGAATACACAAATTATGTATATTGAAATAGGGAGCCGTGGAGATGTCTTCAGATCCTCCATGGTAAATGAAACCTCTTAGACTTAGTGTGAAATGGAGAGCTGTGGGGGATGTCATCAGATCCTTTATAGTGCCGGAAGAAGTGTGAAATGGAGAGGTCTTCAGATCCTCTATGGTTCAGGGACCTCTTAGACTTAGGAAGAATGAAATGGAGAGATGTGGAGATGTCCTCAGATCCTCTATAATGCAGGGACCTTTTGTACTGAAGTGTGAAATAAAGAGCTGTGGAGAGGTCTTCATATCCTCTATGGTGCAGGGACCTCTACGACTTAAGAGTACCTCCCACCTTCCTTGCTGATATAAAGGGAAGAATTGTCCCCATCAACCACAGAATTTCCAAGTTTAAGAACAGCACTATTATTACTATTGTTCCCCAAGGTAGCCATTAAAAGGTTTAGCTTTCACCAGAAAGTGTTACTGACCCAATAGAGCCAAGGCAGTATTGGGCTTTTCAATGGCAACAAAACAGATATGCAGATTTAGATGTACATTACCCATTCCATTACTTGCGTCTGTGCATTCCTCGGCTGCTGTAAAAATGGCATCCATTAGAGGCCCATTTTCATGGGAATGTGGGGACTATTATTTGTGTTTTTTCCCCAGTTTTATTTCAGTTACTGCCCCTTTAAGAAAATGTAACAGTCATTTTATCGGCGGGAAAAATCGTTATTTTGGCGGGAAAACATCGCCACGAGGATTTCTGGAAGTTTCCACAGCCACCCTATATAAAGGAGGTGCTCCTAGGAATAATTATCAGTTGGAATCCTGATCTTCAAGCTCCCTCACCCCCCTAGTCGCGGTATTTTATGTGGTTTGTAACCTCATACGAGGGGGACTATTTCCTTGAGTGATGTATTGCTCGGGTTTCAATAACTGGGCAATATGGTTGGTTTTAACATTTTACTGGTTGATTGATTTTAATTGGTTATTAAAAATTGATCTAATTATTTATTCCAATAAAATGCTGCGGCCAATTAAAGCCAATTCAAATGAAATAGTGTGTTTATGGTTATTTAGAGTATTAAGTTAGTATAAGCATATGTCACCTACAGTACCATGCAGACTGGCAGTTAATAGGAGGGTTTGCTTTATACTGTGCATCTATTTGTACACATGGCTTCCTTCTCTGAGGAACTACTTCCTGCTATAAACTGTACAGATTGCAGATTACAAGATCAGATTTTGAGGGGGTCACAGAGGACTGTTGCCAATTTATCACCTACCTATTTAGATACCACCAATTAAGTGTTCTCAGAAGGAAATCGTGATTGGAATAGTTGGGAGTACCTCCTCCAGGATAACAGACACTCCAGGTGTCTTCATGTAACCTCCACTGGCACAGCATAAACATGATTGCTCAGAGGAGAATGGAAAGACACGTTATTGAATGGTGTCAGGTCTGACCTTTCTAGGAC